CAGCTCTAATGCTTTGGTATTTTCATTCAATTAAAAGGATAAGACCAGGCAGCCTGAGTAGCTCAGCGGTTTAGCACCGCCCAGGATGTGATCCTGGGGACCCGGGATTGAGTCCCATGTCAGGCTCCCTGCATGGAGCCTGCTTCTCCCTCTGCTTGTGTCTCTGCCTCTCTCTCTCTCTCTCTCTCTCTCTTTTTCTGTGTGTGTCTCATGAATAAATAAAGTCTTTAAAAAATAAAAAAATAAAAGGCTAAGACCTACAACTCTTAGATTCTGTAATTCAATTTCTCCTGTGAGGGTATACAACTGATTAGGCACAGGGCCTGGCACAGACTAGGTATTCAATGAATATTTGCTGGATGAAATAAGAAAAGAAAAATGGAATTCACTGAATTTAATGGTAAGAATGACCTTAGTCATCAAATCTTGTATTTACAGAAATGAAGACAACTTTCCCACCAAGAAATGATACTTCCATACTTGAGAGGCTAACCAAATTCAGAACACTCGATGGCTATTTAATTGTTGTCAACAAAGAGCTTCTAAAGCACCCAAAAGCTTAACTCAAGCTTCCCTACTGGTTCTAAAGAAGTTTTATTCACTTCTGAACCCTAGTTTCAAGTCTTTAAAATATAAGGATAATACAGTTGCCTTTTTATGAGAAAGAAGAAAAGGCAACAAGGTAAACAAAACCAAAGATACTGCAGGTGTCAAGAGGTTGGGTTCCTGAGGATCCCTGGGTGGCTCAGCGGTTTAGCGATGCCTTCAGTCCAGGGCATGATCCTGGAGTCCCGGGCTCAAGTCCCGCGTCAGGCTCCTTGCAGGGAGCCTGCTTCTCCCTCTGCCTATGTCTCTGCCTCTCTCTCTCTGTGTGACTATCATAAATAAAATAAATAAATAAAGTAAATAAAAATAAAAATAAAATTAGCACTCCTCCTCCCAATTAAGTATCTGCTAGCCAGATGCCACCTATACAGAAACTATCAGACACACCACTCTGGGGTGCCTGAGTGGTTCAGTCAGTTGGGCATCTGCCTTCAGCTCGGGTCATGATCCCAGGGTTCTGAGATCAAGTGGTCCTAGGATAGAACCCCACAACGGGCTTCCTGCACTGAGCGGGGAGCCTGCTTCTCCCTCTCCCTCTGCCCTTCCTCCTGACTCATGCTCGCACTCTCTTTCTCAAATAAATAAATAAAATCTTGGGGAAAAAAAAAAAAAAGACACGCCACTCCTGCCTCTCCCCATTAACCTCCCCAATGAAAATAAAAATGAAGGTACTTGGAATCTTCTCCCAATTCTGAGTATGATACCAAGAAAGTAAGGTATTGTTATTATTAGCTTTTTATTTTTTAAAAAATATTTCTTAAAAAAAATAAAAATAAAAATAAAAAATATTTCTTTATAGGGCACCTAGGTGGCTCATTTGGTTAAGTGTCTGCCTTTGGCTCAGGTCATGATCCTGGAGTTCTGGGATCTAGTGCCATGTCTGGCTCCCTGCTCAAGGGAGAGTCTGCTTCTCCCTCTGCCCCTTCCCTGCTTATGCATGCACGCACACTCTCTCTCTCAAATAAATAAATGAAATTTTTTTTAAAAAATTTCTTTAGGGGATCCCTGGGTGGCTCAGTGGTTTAGCACCTGCCTTTGGCCCAGGGCGTGATCCTGGAGTCCCGGGATCGGGTCCCACGTCAGGCTCCCGGCATGGAGCCTGCTTCTCCGTCGGCCTGTGTCTCTGCCTCTCTCTCTCTCTCTCTATCATGAATAAATAAATAAAATCTTTAAAAAAAATTTCTTTATTTGAGAGAAAGAGAGAGGGAGGGAAGGAGCTCGAGCCAGTGGGGGTAGGGGCAGAGGGAGAGAATCCTGAAGCAGACTCCCAGCCAAGCCAGGAGCCTGACTTGGGGCTTAATCTCATGACCCATGAGATCATGACCTGAGCCGAAACCAGGAGCCAGACCTCCAAATGACTGAGCCACCCAGATGCCCCAATTATTAGTTTTTTAAGTAAGCTCTATGCCCTATGTGGGGCTCTAACTCATGACCCCAAGATCAGGAGCTGCATCCTCCATCGAATGAGCCACCCAAGTGCCCCCAAAGAAGTAGAATATTAAAAAATAAAGCAAGGGATCCCTGGGTGGCGCAGCGGTTTGGCACCTGCCTTTGGCCCAGGGCGCAATCCTGGAGACCCGGGATCGAATCCCACATCGGGCTCCCGGTGCATGGAGCCTGCTTCTCCCTCTGCCTGTGTCTCTGCCTCTCTCTCTCTCTCTCTCTGTGACTATCATAAATTTTAAAAAAAAAATTTTTTTTTAAATTTTAAAAAATAAAGCAAAATGACCTTATACAGCGGAATATGAAGAAAGAAATGGGAAAGCCTTGACTCTTATTAGAAATATTTTGTTTATTTAAGAATACTGAGTTGGTGGTAGGAAAAAATGGTATCTAGGTAGAAGAACCAAAGATTTCCTTTATAAAGTGACCTTAAATATTTCAATAACAATCTGAAAAAGGCAAAACTAGAGAATGAGTAAAAAGATCAGTTGTTTCCAGGGGTTTGTAGGGAGGGTTTATAGGTGAAGCACAGGCAATTTTAAGGGTGGTGAAATTGTTCTGTACAATATTCTAATAGTAGATACATGACATCATGCACCTGTCAAAACCCACAGAACTTTATAACACAAAGAGTGAACCTTTTGTTTTTGAGGGGAGGAGGGGAGAAGGAGGGAGAGAATCTTAAGAAGGTTCCCTGCCCAGCCTGGCATCTGACACAGGGCTCAAACTCACCACCCTGAGATCATGATCTGGGCTAAAATCAAGAGTCTGACACTTAACCAACTGAGCCACCCAGGTGCCCCAAGAGTGAACCTTCAAGTATGCAAATTTAAAAACATCATTTAGGGACACCTAGATGGCTCAGTGGTTGAGCATCTGCCTTAGGCTCAGGGCGTGATCCCAGAGTCCCGGGATTGGGTCCTGCATTGGGCTCCCTGCATGGAGCCTGCTTCTCCTCCCTCTGCCTATGTCTCTGCCCCTGTGTCTGTCAGTCTGTCTCTCTCTGTCTCTCATAAATAAATAAAATCTTTTAAAAAAATAAAAACAGGGGATCCCTGGGTGGCGCAGTGGTTTAGCACCTGCCTTTGGCCCAGGGCGCGATCCTGGAGACCCAGGATCGGATCCCACATCGGGCTCCCGGTGCATGGAGCCTGCTTCTCCCTCTGCCTGTGTCTCTGCCTCTCCCTCTCTCTCTCTCTCTCTCTATCATAAATAAATAAATTAAAAAATTTTAAAAAAATAAAAAAAATAAAAACATCATTCAGGTCAGCGGATCCCAGGAAGGAACAGACACCATTTATGATATAATCTAACTATTACAAACATATGAAACAATATAACGGGGGGGGGGGAGGACACGGACAGATGGTGCTGACCTAAATTAACTCTGGAAATGAGTAGCATCTGTAAGACTAAAGTAAAAGCAAAAAGAAATGTATATAAGCACTGTACTCTAGTTGGTAAAGTTGTTTCCCATGAGTGTAGAAGTCAACAAAACTGTTATACATCTATCTATCTTATCCATACACTGGGAGTTAAGTACATGGACAGTGAATGGTAAAAGCCAGGTGTCTCACTGTTGGGAGTCAGAGGTTACAGACAAGCAAGGGGAGAAGGCTAGAATGATCTGTGTGGTAATGGATTAGGTTGGAGTCATCAGTTAAAACTCACGTTTAGTTTAATATTGATACAGATACATAAAAACAGATACAGAGAAACATTCATACAGATGCATAAACATACAGATAGCATATACATGGGATTTCAGCTAACAGAGCCTAGAAGCAATACTACCTCAAAGGAACAGTGAGCCTACTTGTACTCAGATCTTGATTTCTTTTTTTTTTAAAGATTTATTTATCTATTTATGATAGAGAGAGAGAGAGAGGGAGAGGCAGAGACACAGGAGGAGGGAGAAGCAGGCTCGATGCCGGGAGCCCGACGTGGGACTCGATCCCAGGACTCCAGGATCACGCCCTGGGCCAAAGGTAGGCACTAAACCACTGAGCCACCCAGGGATCCCCTCAGATCTTGATTTCTAATGTAATTCTCTAATAAAAGGAATTAGGGCTTTGGGGAGAAATGGCTGATTATAGAACTAAAACAGAGGATACACAGGATAAGTCTGGAGTATCTTATACTAGGAAGGAAGTGATCAAAAGGAACCCCCCTTATGACGATGGGGGCATGTTAAAGTAACATGGAGGGGCAACCCCAGTGGCTCAGTGGTTTAGCGCCACCTTCGGCCCAGGGTGTGATCCTGGAGACCGGGGATCGAATCCCACATCGGGCTCCCTGCATGGAGCCTACTTCTCCCTCTGCCTGTGTCTCTGCCTCTCTCTGTGTGTGTGTCTCTCATGAATAAATAAATAAAATCTTTAAAAATAATAAAATAAAATAAAATAAAATAAAGTAACATAGGGGCCAACCAAAAGAGATCATCAATGGTCAAGGCTAGAAAAATTTAAGCAACAAAATAAATAAAGTAGTAATAGATTATGGCTCAAAGTATAAAATAAGTATCCATGAATCCATAATGATACAAAGAAATGACTAAGTAAATAAGCAAATAGAGGAGGAAAGATAATCTTCCATTCAAAACTCCCAATAATTTATGTAGAACACACTCCAGGAGATGGAGTGCAACATCTCACTCCTTAAGTGATGACTACACAGTGCCTTCAATCTAATACTACAACAGAGTGTTTTAAAAAAAAAAAAGTAACATTAGAGTGGAGAATGAAGAAAGCAGACATAAACCTTCTCAGCCAGGTGATCAAAGCCAACACTAACCGTGATAAATTATGTTGATACTACATATCTTGATGTGATATGACAAAAATATGGGAATGGCACTTTACCTCTGTGGTCTTCCTTCCCAAAACCCAGATCAGTCTAACAACAAGAAAAACACCAGACAAATCCTAATTGAGCGACATTCTACAAAATACCTGATCAGTTCTCCTCAAAACTGACAAGGTCATCAAAACAATGAGTCTGAGAAACTGTCACAGCAAGAGGAGCCTAAGGAGACATGATGACTAAATGTAATGTGGTATCCTGGCGGGATCCTGAAACATAAAAAATACATTAAGTAAAAACTAAGGAAATGTGAGTGAACTATGGACCTTTAGTTAATAACAATGTTTCACTATTGCTTAATTAACTGTAACAAATGTACCAAGCTAAGGTCATCTATCAATAATAGAAGAAACCGGGTGCCAGGTATATGGGAACTCTCTGTATTATCCTCTCAATTTTTCTGTAAAATTAAAACTATACAAAACCATCTATTTAATTAAAAAAAATTTACCTCAGGATGATTAATGATCTCTGGCACAGGAGTCGTATTCACATCTCCAGCTCTAAAAGCACCTTCTTTGCAGTAGTCTGGAAATGTGACAAAATGAGGAGTTATCCTTTTGCTTAGCTTCCTAACTCAGTATGTAAACATGACAAAAACTCAGACTTCTGATGCTTTTAGTAACAGCACACAGAATGTTAGACCACACTTTTAGGACAGGTGGTTCTTTCCCAAATTTCATCACAAGCTGAATCATCTTCTTTTCTTTTAGGTCACACATTTTTTTTTTTTAGGTCACACATATTTTCTACATTAATTAAATTCTACATTATCCCAAGAAAAGAGCAGTAGTTCAGAAAAACTAAAAAATAATCCACCATTTATTTTCTTAACGCTTTTGTAGCACACCTGGTTGTGACATACCATCCTGAACCTCTCCATCCATTTACAGAAGAAAGGATGAAGCCCGGGTCCCGAAAGCATGTAGGAAACTTTAAATTGTATGGCCAAGGGACGCCTGGGTGGCTCAACGGTTGAACACCTGCCTTCAACCTAGAGACACCTGGGTGGCTCAGCAGTTGAACACCTGCCTTCAACCCAGGGCGTGATCCTGGAGACCTGGGATCGAGTCCCACGTCAGGCTTCCTGCATGGAGCCTGCTTCTCCCTCTGCCTGTGCCTCTACCTCTTGTGTGTGTGTGTCTCTCATGAATAACTAAATAAAATCTTTTAAAAAATAAAAAATAAATAAATTGTATGGCCAAAATAATAACTTTTTTTAAAATGCTGACTATAATATAATCCATTTCTGTTCCATGAAGAGCAATTTATATAAAGAACAGTAACCTTACTGGCTTATTTTGACAGATGAGCATTCTCTCTCCCCTTCCTTCAGAAAGTACATAGTTCCCTCTTAACATGGTTTTGCCTCCTGCAGTTTCAGGTACCTGTGGTCAACTGCAGTCCTGAAGCAGATGATCCACCTTCCAACATATCATCAGAAGGTCAATAGTAGCCTAACACTATGTCACAATGTCTACATCATTCATGTCACTGTAGATCATGTAAGCATTTTGTCATCTCGCATCATCATAAGGATGAGTACAGTAAAATAAGCTATTTCAAGAGAGATACCACTCACCTTTCATTACAGTGTATCATCATAAACGTTCTATTTTATTATTAACCTCTTCCTGTCCCTACTTTATAAACGTTATCATAAATACTTCTATACAGAAAAAAACGTAGTGTATATAGGGATTGGTATTACCTGCAGTTTGGAGGATCCACTGGGTGTCTTGGAATGTATTCCCTGTGGATAAAGGGGGGGGATACTGTATCTTTATCCCAGTGAACCTAATAATCCAATGTTAACTTTGGGGGCAAATAATGGCTTATATCATGGATACAAGTCTCTAATTAATCTCCTGACTGAACCTCATTTTATAACCACATGGAAATTAACATATCCTGTTTATACTGTATATTTTCAGCACTTTACCATATTTTTTTAAATTTCTCAATTACTTTATCTTAAACATTACCCAAAAAATGAGCAAAAGTCCTGGGCACCTACACAAATGCTGTTTTCTACCATGTAGAAATCTCTGATGTGGGGTAGCCCCGGTGGCGCAGCGGTTTAGCGCCGCCTGCAGCCCGGGGCGTGATCCTGGAGACCCGGGATCGAGTCCCACGTCAGGCTCTCTGTGTGGTGCCTGCTTCTTCCTCTGCCTGTGTCTCTGCCTCTCATTCTCTCTCTCTCTCTCTCTCTCTCTCTCTCTCTCTCTCTCTCTATGAATAAATAAAATTAAAAAATCTTTAAAAAAAAAATCTCTGATGTCAACGCAAAATCCACCCCACATTCATGCTTTCTCCCAGTGACCTAAATCACCACAGCTTTCCTCCCTCTCCCAAATGCCCAAAAAGTCATGCATTTGTCACCACTATGAGCCCCTGAAATAGTTTACTAATATTTTGTTCTCCCCTAGGTTTTATCATTGTAAATGTTGAGTACAAAAACCAACAGTGCCTTATACATAGATACTTACTATAAATGACAAAATATGGGATTTTAAATTAATTGATTTCCAATTAATTAATCTGGTTGAGGTGTTCCAAGGTCTTTTTTTGTTTTTTGTTTTTTTTAACAAAAGAGTGGGTTTTTTTTAATATTTTATTTTTATTTATTCACGAAAGACACATAGAGAGAGGCAGGGGGAGAAGCAGGCTCCATGCAGGGAGCTTGATATGGGACTCAATCCCAGGACCCCAGGATCACGCCCTGAGCCAAAGGCAGACACTCAACCGCTGAGCCACCCAGGTGTCCCAAGGGCATTTATTTGTAAAAAAACCAAAAGGGCTCCTGGGGCAACAGGACAGGCAAGCAGGCAGGCCAGCTTCTCAGGAGTCACAGGCATGTGGGCAGATGTGCTTGAATAGAGAGAGGGGGTATTCTCTGAGTACTTTGTGTCACCCTGGGCTGCCTTCGGGATGGGTGGCACTAGCTCAAAGACCATAAACTTTGAGGGTCTCAGCCTCCAGCAATTCTGGAACAGGATTGTCTTTGGTCAGCATTGGGGGTTCATCAATGCTGCCTGCAGTTATAACCCCAGAATCTCTCTCTTTACTGAGACCCCTTCTGGTGTCTGGCAGGTGACACAGGGCAGCTGGGCTAGCAGGTGCCCCCAGGACTGGGCTCAGTGCCCTTCTGCAGAGAGCCTTCCGAATGGAAACTGATTATTGTTCTCATCGTGATCCAGCAAGAGAGTCATCTCCCACCCTCAAGGACTGGCACCCCTGTCCTGCCACTCTGGGCCTGAGAATCTCTCTGTGTGCGTCCTGTCATTCTTCCTCCTAGGAGTCCACCACAGGCACCCACTTGAAGATACGAAGAAGTGTCGCCCACACTTCCCCCACCTCCAGACCTTCTCGATGGTTGTCATCACTTTCTTGATGTCATCGTTACCCCAGCTCTGGGTCTCAGTCCACATGGTCCAGCCGGCCATGGTGGTGGAGCCAAAGTTGAGGCTGTGGCTGGGCCGCCTCCTGTCCAGCGGTCTCAGGTTCAGCGAAGGACCCAGGTACCACTCTCTTGGCTGGCTGTCCCTCCCCACAAGGTCTTAATTAGGTCAATTCTTAAATGGTATCATTTAAAAAGAAAGACAGGACAACTGACTGGTAACACATGCTAGAGGCAGATCATCTCTACATTTTATTTTATTTTTTAAAGATTTTATTTATTTATGCATGAGAGACATAGAGACATAGAGACATAGAGAGAGAGAGAGAGAGAGAGAGAGAGAGAGAGAGAGAGAGAGGCAGAGACACAGGCAGAGGGAGAAGCAGGCTCCATGCAGGGAGCCCGACGTGGGACTTGATCCTGGGTCTCTAGGATCACAACCTGGGCTGAAGGCGGCGCTAAACTGCTGGGCCACCGGTGCTGCCCTCTACATTTTATTAAAGAGATTACTTAGAACAGTGTTTTTCAAATGGTAAGTTGTGGCTTATTAGTGGAGTGTGTAATAAATTTATTGGGTAATGACAAGTATTTAAGAAAAAAAAGAAATGTCACAGAAAACATAAGAATGCTTTATACATAGTAATGGTAAACAGTAGTTCAAATAACTTGAGGTGTGGATATGTATTAGATCAAGACTAAAATGTGGGGGATCCCTGGGTGGCTCAGCGGTTTAGTGCCTGCCTTTGGTCCAGGGCGTGATCCTGGAGCCCCGGGATCAAGTCCCACGTCGGGCTCCCGGCGTAGAGCCTGCTTCTCCTTCCACCTATGTCTCTGCCTCTCTCTCTTTCTATGTCTATCATGAATAAATAAATAAAATAAAATAAAAAAAACCTAAAATGTGTTTGGTTTTTTCTGTTTTATTTTTTTGTTTTTTACTGTGGGTTGCTATGAGAAATAGTGACTTAGAATATAGTGAGGTTGGGATGCCTGGGGTGGCTCAGTGGTTGGACATCTGCCTTTGGTTCAGGGCGTGATCCCGCGGTCCTGGGATCCGGTCTCACATCAGGCTCCCTGCATGGAGCCTACTTCTCCCTCTGCCTAGGTCTCTGCCTCTCTCTGTGTCTCTCATGAATAAATAAATAAAAGTCTTCAAAAAAAAAAAAAGAATATGGTGAGGTATTATAGGTAATGTAAGAAAAAATATTTACCACCTTCCCATTTTACTTGTATCTGAATAGATGGCAGGTTTCCAATTAACCAAGTGGGGACACCTGGGTGGCTCAGTAGTTCAGTGTCTGCCTTCAGCTCAGGGTGTGATGTCAGGATCAAGTCCCACATCCGGCTCCTGGCGGGGGGCCTGCTTCTCCCTCTGCCCATGTCTCTGCCTCTCTCGGTCTCTCATGAATAAATAAATAAAATCTTTAAAAAAATAATTAACCAAGTGGATTTGAGAAACATCTGGATTAAAAGCTAAAACAACCTTTTATGTTATGAATTTCTGTGTGACTTTATCTTTCTCAAATGTTGTCTGTTTTCTGTGGCTTCCTCATGAACTACCAGAGGTTCCTGCCTTCTAAAACAATTTTTTTTAAAGTAATCAGTTTCCTAAACCCAGAAATTCAAGATCACAAACCATGGAAATTTCCTACTGGAAAGGTATGAAAGATGAACAAAAATATCATTTATAATTATTTATTTAACAATGTCAAACCTGACAATCCTCCCACATCCACTGTTGACTATTTAACAAAATCTGAGCACGCAGCTAAGAGGTACAGAAGACCCATGCCCTCAGAGAAACACACTGACAATTGTAGTAGAATGCATTAAGTCCTATAATAAGCTGTCAGATACAGAAATAAAGTAAGACAAGGAAAAAATACAAAGGAAAGCTTCACAGAAGAGATGACATTTAAACTAGGTTGCAAAGAATAGGATTTTTTGAAATAAAAACGAAAGAAAAAAAGGAAAAAAAAAAACAAAAGAAATATAAAGTTGGTAGGAATTCTACACATCATGTAACCAAGTAGCTCCCAAGTGGGGATGACATTGCCCAAAAAGGCACACTTGAAGTGTCTAGAGACAATTTTAGTTGTCATACTGAAGAGGGATGCTACTGGCATTGGTAGGCAGAGGCCAACGACACTGCTTAACATTGTACAGGGCACAGGACGGCCCCAGACAACAAAGAATTATCTGGCCCCAAATGTCAATAGTGCCAAGGCAGAGAAACCCTGAATACAACCTCAGTACAATCCTCTTATTTTACACAGGAGGTAACTGAAGGTTACAGGGATTTTTAAAACTTGCTAAAAAGCTAGTAAGTTCATAAAACAGGCCTCATAACACCTTGTCCAGTGATTAATTCATAACACACACCCACACATGTTGTTATACTCGGAAACAGATGTTTTAAAAGAGTCGGAACATTTGTATAAAGTGGAAAAACAAACTATCTAGATAAAAATCAAAGGTGATATTATTATATAATCTTTCTTGAAACAGATCTACCAAAAAAAATAAAAAAAAATAAAATAAAATTAAATTAAATTAAAAAAAAAGAAACAGATCTACCAATGGCTCAGAGCAAGAATTATGCTACATTTTAAAAATTATACCCATATTTGTTTATAATACTAGATTTACCATCTTTACAACTTGGTTATTTAACATGGATCTGTAAGAAAAATTACAATAGGGATGCCTGGATAGCTTAGAGGTTGAGCTTCTGCCTTCAGCTCAGGGTGTGATCCCAGAGTTCCGGGATCGAGTCCCACATCGGGCTCCTTGCAGGGAGCCTGTTTCTCCCTCTGCCTATGTCTCTGCCTCTCTCTCTCTGATGAATGAATGAATGAATGAATGTTTTTTTAAAAAAGAAAGAAAAATGACAATAAAAACTAGGATGTTGGGGGCATCTGGGTAACTCAGTGGTTGAGCATCTGCCTTTGGCTCAGGTTGCAATCCTGGGGTCCTGGGATCAAATCCTGCATCAGGCTCCCTGCGGGAAGCCTGTTTCTTCCTCTGCCTATGTCTCTCCCTCTCTCTCTCTTTCATGAATAAAATATTTTTTTAAAAAATAGGAAGTTGGAAGACCAGCATATGCACACACCATACTCAGTTACTCCTTAGGGCAGATCTTTGAAGCTCTATCAGCTCCAGCCACAATCACTGGGCACCGGGAGCCTGGATGGGATTTCCCCTTTAATTCAAAACCAAATGCTAAGTTACCCTTCTGTTGGTTGGTGAGGTTTCTTTCTTTTTGTTTTTTAAAGATTTTACTTATTTACTCATGAGAGAAACACAGAGAGAGAGAGAGAGAGAGAGAGAGAGAGGCAGAGACATAGGCCGAGGGAGAAGCAGGCTCCATTCCATACAGGGAGCCTGACATGGGACTCGATCCCAGGTTTCCAGGACCACACCCTGGGCCGAAGGTGGCGCTAAACCGCTGAGCTACCCGGGCTGCCCGTTTGGGGAGGTTTCTAATAACAAGTGAAATGTACAAAGACCTTCTTAGGGTCCTGATATAGGGCTTAAATCTAAACACATGAAGTGGGCAGCCCTGGTGGCTCAGCGGTTTAGCACCGCCTTCAGCCCAGGGCATGATCCTGGATCTCCAGGATCAAGTCCCATGTCAGGCTCCCCACAGGGAGCCTGCTTCTCCCTCTGCCTGTGTCTCTGCCTCTCTATGTGTCTCTCATGAATAAATAAATAAAGTCTTTAAATAAATAAATAAACACATGAAGCTACCTGGACATCTTTTTTTTCATCCTTGCTCTTCAATGCACAAAAGGTATGGGAGTAAGGGGATGGCATAAACAAACATGTTAACAGTAATACAGATAAGATTTCAAAAAGGTTTTTTTGTTGTAAAAACTACAGAAATAAAGACATATACATAGATACACACTCCTTACCTTGAATTTTTCAAAAAATGAAGCCTCAACTAAGATACCTTGTCCAGTCTGACACACAACAAATTCACGGTGAAGAACTTGAGCAAAGGTTGCAAGCGCTATCCTAAAAAAAATGAGAGACCAAACAGGTAAGATTTGAATTACGAAAGGTTTAAAGAAAACTGTGTGAGCAAGTTATACAGTATATAAATACAAACTCAAGAAACAGAAAGCAGCTGCTTGTATACCTTTCACTACCTGAAATTTCAGTGAATAAAGTTTATGCTCGATCAATATAATGGAAAGGTCACCTGACTTTATCAGCCGCCCTGCTTCTCTTGCCACTAAGTCACTGCTAGTAGCTAAGGGAGAGCTAGCAACAGCAGAAGGTGAAGGTTAGGGCCAGAGGTTTCATCTTCACTGAGGCTAGTTGGAGGACCTTTAGTTGCATCCCTGGCACACCACCAGTGATTCCTGCAGCTCCCCATTTATTCTAGTCATTAAGCATAATGGGTTTCAGGCTCTTTAAGAGCCAAAGGTCTTAAAATTTAAATAACTCCATACACAGGCTAAGTTATTCTCTAGTAAAGGAATTTTTAAATTTCCACACTCCAAATGAGCACTACACCCTCATTGCAAAACCCAACAACAAAGAGGATATATAGTTCTTTGTCACCTACTATACCCTCTCAGCAGAATTACAATTGTTCACTAAAGACTGGGAGCTCCTCCCCATAACCCAACTCACAAAATCACTCATCACTCAAAAATATGAAAAAAGAAAAATACTTGTTCATAAGCCTCAGTGAAATAATAGTCTTACATACAGAGGAAAGCAGAAATAAGTATATATCTATCAATAGTTAATTTAAATGTAAATGAACTAAAGGTCCAATAAAAAGATACAGGGAAAGGGTTGCCTGACTGGCTGGCTCAGTCAGTGGAGCATACAACTCTTGATCTCAGGGCCATGAGTTCAAGCCCCATGCTGGGTGTGGGCCCTACTTAATGAAAAGAAAGAAAAAAGAAAAGAAAAGAAAGAAAAGAAAAGAAAAGAAAAGAAAAGAAAAGAAAAGAAAAGAAAAGAAAAGAAAAGAAAAGAAAAGAAGAAAAGAAAAGAAAAGAGAAAAGAAAAACATAGTGACTCAATGAATAAGAAAACAATATTCATCTATATGCAGCTTACAAGAGACTGACTTTAGAACTAAAGACACTTGCAGACTGAAAGTGAAGGGATGGAAGATCATTTATCATACAAATCAAGTGGTGGGGAAAAAGCCAGGGTAGTGGGGCACCTGGGTGGCTCAGTCAGTTAAGCATCTGAGTTCTTGACCTCAGCTCAGGTCTTGATCTCAGGGACAATGGATTCAGACCCCATGTTGGGCTCCACATTGAGTGTGGAGCCTATTTTTAAAAAATAATTAATTTAAAAAGCTTATTGTGTACAAAAGCCCGGGTAGCATTACTTGTATCAGACAAAATAGACTTTAAAACAAAGACTGTAGCAAGAGACAAAGAAAAGCACTTCACAAAGATAAAGGGAACAACGCACTAAGAGGATATAACAATTATACACATCTATGCACCCAACATAGGAACATCAAAATACATAAACCAATTATTAAAGACAGAAAGGGAGAAACAGACAGTAATACAGTAACAGTAGTGAACTTTAACATCCCATTTACATCAATGGATAGATCACTCAGACAGAAAATGAAAAGGAAAGAATGGCTTTAAATGGCACATTAGACCAGATGGACCTAACAGATATACACAGAACATTCCATCCAAAAACAACAGAATACACGTTCTTTTCAAGTGCACATGGAACATTCTCCAGAATAGATCACGTAAGGCCACAAAACAAGTCTCAATAATTTCAAGAAGACTGAAAACACATCAACCCATCCTTTCCAACTGAAACAGTATGAAACTACAAATTATAATAAAATTTGGAAAAAAACACAAATATATGAAGGCTAAACAACATGCTACTAAACAGGGGCAGCCATGCTACTAAACCAGCCAGGTTTAGCGCCACCTTCAGCCCAGGGCCTGACCCTGGAGACCCGGGGATCAAGTCCCACATCAGGGAGCCTGCTTCTCCCTCTGCCTGTGTCTCTGCCTCTCTGTATGTCTCTCATGAATAAATAAATAAAATCTTTAAAAAAAATGCTACTAAACTATGGAACTGGGAAATCAAAAACATGGAGACATATGAAAATGAAAATATGCTGGTCCAAAATCTTTGGAATGCAGCAAAAGCACTTCTAAGAGGGAAGTGTATAGTAATAGAGGCCTACCTCAAGAAACAAGAAAAATACCAAATAAACAACCTAACCTTACTTTTAAGGAAGCAAGAAAAAACAAGGCCCAAAACTAGTAGGAAGAAGGAAATTATAAAGATTACTGTAAAAATCAATGACACAAAGACTAAAAAAATACAATAACAAAAAGATCAAATAAACCAGCAGCTGGTTCTTCAAAAAGATAAAATTGATAAATATTTAGCCCGATTCATCAGGGGAAAAAAAAAGAGAACTCAAATAAGTAAAATTGGAAATGAAAGAGAAGTAACAAGTGACACCACAAAAACACAAAAGATTTTAAAAGACTATTACCAAAAATTTTACAGCATGAGGGATGCCTGGGTGGCTCAGCAGTTAAGTGCCTGCCTTCAGCTCAAGGCGTGACCCTGGAGTCCTAGGATGGAGTCCCACATCAGGCTCCCTGTATGGAGCCTGCTTCTCCCTCTGCCTATGTTTCTACCTCTCTGTGTGTCTCATGAATAAATAAAATATTTTTTTAAAAATTATACAGGATGAAAATGGACCACCCAGAAGATACAGTTAAATTCCTAGAAACAGATCATTTTCCAAAACTGAATCAGGAAGAAATAGAATATTTGAACAGAATTATTAATATAGGTGCAATAAAATTGAATCAGTAATCAGGATGCCTGGGTAGCTCAGCGGTTGGGCATCTGCCTTTGGCTCCAGTCATGATCCTGGGATCTGGGATCAAGTCCTGCATCGGGCTCCCTGAGGGGAGCCTGCTTCTCCCTCTGCCTGTGTCTCTGCCTCTATCTCTCATGAACAAATAAATCTTTTAAAAAAACTGAATCAGTAATAAAAAAAAACTCCCAATAGCACATGATGAAATGAGCACTGGGTGTTATACTATATGTTGGCAAATTGAATTTAAAAAACAAATTCCCAACAAACAAAAGGTCTATGACCAAGACAGTTTTGAAGGTGAAGTCCACCAAATTTTTAAAGAGTTAATTCCTATCCTGCACAAAGAATTCCAAAAAAGAGAAGGAAAACTTCCATAATCATTCTATGAGAGCATTACCCGGGTACCAAAACCAGACAAAGATACTATAATAAAAGGAAATTAGAGAACTATATCCCTGATGAATATAGGTGCAAAAATCCTCAACAAAGTAAGAGCAAACCAAATTCATACTATATTAAAAGAATCATTCAGGGGCGCCTGGGTGGCTCAGGCAGTTAAATGTCTGCCTTTGGATCAGGTCACGATCCCGGAGTCCTGGGATATAGACTCAAGTCGGGCTTCCTGTTCAGCAGAAAACCTCCTCCTCCCTCTCCACATGCCACTATCCCTGCTTGTGCATACACTCTCTATCGAAAAAATAAATAAAATCTTAAAAAAAATCATTAACTGTGATCAATTAGGATTGATTGATTCCAAGGATACAAGGGTGGTACAATATTCACAAATCAGTGAGATACATCAAATAATCAAGAGAAAGGATAAAAACCTTATGATTGGGGCACCTGGGTGGCTCAGTTGGTTAAGTGTCTGTCTTCAGCTTAAGTCAAGATCCCTGGGTCCTGGGATTAAGCCCCACATCAGGCTCCCTGCTTAGCACAGAGTCAGCTTCTCCCTCTCTCTCTCTCTCTCTGCCCCTCCTCCAATCTGTGTGCACACATTCTCAAATAAATAAATAAAAATCTTAAAAAAAAAAACCTTATGATTATCTCAACAGATGCAGAAAAAGTACATGACAGAGTACAACAGCCACTCATGATAAAAACTCCCAACAAAGCAGGATGAGAGAGAAAATATCTCAACCCAATAAAAGCCATACACAGGGCAGCCCGGGTGGCTCAGCGGTTTAGCGCCGCCTTCAACCTGGGGTGTGATCCTGGAGACCTGGGATCAAGTCCCACGTCGGGCTCCCTGCATGGAGCCTGCTTCTCCCTCTGCCTGTGTCTCTGCCTCTCTCTCTCCTCTCTGTGTATTTATTCTCATGAATAAATAAATAAAATCTTAAAAAAAAGTCATACATAAATACTCCACAACCAACAGCATACTCAATGATGAAAAGTGAGAGTTTTTCCTCTAAGATCAGGAACATGACAAGGATGTCCACACTCACCACTTTTGCTCAACATGGAACTGGAAGTCCTAATCAGAGCAATCAGACAAGAAAAACAAAAAGCACCAAATTACTAGGGATAAAGTAAAACTCACTATTTGCAAATGACATGATACTATATAGAGAAAACCCTAAAGGCTCCACCAAAACATTAGAATTGATAAATGAATTCAGTAAATTGCAGGATATAAAATTAACATGTAGCAATCTGTTGCACTTCTATACACTGACTATGTAGTAGAAAGAGAAATTAAAACAATTCCATTTACAACTGCACGAAAGAGAATAAAATATCTAGTAATAGGGGATCCCTGGGTGGCTCAGTGGTTTAGTGCCTGCCTTTGGCCCAGGGCATGATCCTGGAGACCAGGGATGGAGTCCCACGTCGGGCTCCCTGCATGGAGCCTGCTTCTTACTCTGCCTGTGTCTCTGTCTCTCTCTCTCTCTTTCTCTCTCTGTCTCATGAATAAATAAATAAGATCTTTAAAAAAAAATACCTAGTGGGATCCCTGGGTGGCTCAGTGGTTTAGCCCCTGCCTTCGGCCCAGGGCGTGATCCTGGAGTCCCGGGATCAAGTCCCACATCGTGCTCCCTGCATGGAGCCTGCTTCTCCCTCTGCCAGTGTCTCTGCCTCTCTCACACACATCTCTGTGTTTCTCATGAATAAATAAATAAAATCTTAAAAAAAAATACCTAGTAATATATTTAACCAAGAA